CAGCAGCAGCAGCAGCAGCAGCAGCAGCAGCAGCAGCAGCAGCAGCAGCAGCAGCAGCAGGAAGCTAGTACATTGGTCCTGCTGCTGGGCAGGGTAGCCTGTTCTAGAGGAGTGACGTCTGTGACACTGAGAAGAGGGGAATCAGAGAAGACTTTCTGGAAGCCCAAGCAGCCAGACTGACCCAGGTTCATATTACAGTTGTTTTATTACCTATCTGACCTTGAGCAAATATCTAAGCAACAATACATTGTTAATAATCCATTATTTATAGGGTTGCTAAGAATTAAATAGAATGTTTTAAATTACCTACTACTACCTAATTACCCACTTTTTAACAAAATAAGTCATACCTCCTTGTGGGTTTACACACATTCATTCTTCTATTCGTTCAGGAGGTATCACTGAGCATCCAGTAGGGCCTGGCCCCGTGCACACAGTGACTTGTGTGCTACAAGCCCCTAGCATTTCTCACCCAAGCTGCCACTGAGCTTCCAGTCTGTCCAGTGCTCAACCTTACCATCCCATCCTAAATGTGGGCCCTTACCCTTGCCCATTGCCGTGGTCGCATATCTCCCTGATGATCCGTCATTCTGTCAGCCCCACCCTTTACCCTCCTAGGCACTGTTTCTGCAGCTGCCACGAGTGGTCTCATCTCTGCCTTTACCCAGTTGTGCCTATCCAACGGTGCTGTATTCCCTTGACCTGTGGAGCTCCCCAACTCCACAGGACCCATCTGGATTTCCTCATCTCAAAGCTCCCCACCCCCACCCCACTTCTAACTTCCAAGTCTGAAATGCTGAGCTCTCTGCCACCATCATATCTGGGCCTACTGGCCCTCCCTGGAAAAATAGTTGGTCTAGGATAATTTTTCTTATATCTGCAGTCCAGATTCACAAACCCTTTACCCAATCCAGGGCCAAGGTTCTCTCTCCTTAGAGCTTATGGCTCTTTCTCCCAACACTAAGCTGCCTCTCTAGGGTGGGGTTAAGAACCCAAATATGAAACCAGAAAAATTGCTTTTGGTCCTTCCGGCTTGAGTGGTGTTGACTGGGTGGGGTGGGGCAACAATCAGTCTGGCCAAGTGGCACTGTGGATCTGGGTTCTCTAACCCGGGCCATTGCCATGGATCTACAGCAGGTGACACTGGGGAAATCTCTGCCCTCTCTAGGCCCGTCTCTCCAGCCTGTTAGTGCACTGAGAAGCTGGTCTTCTTTAAGGCTATACTGAAACTCGAGGTTCTATGCAGCTACTCCTGGCAATGGTGCATAATGGCCACAAGAGGGCGCGCAACCCCTTCAGCTAGGAAGTTTGCAGCCTAATCAAACAAGCAAGCTTCAAAAGGGATACTAAGCCTTCTAAGTGAAAAGGTAGCTTACCCAAGAGCACGCTACAAAATGGCAACAGAGTAGGGACCGAAAAAGGATATTTGAATTCCCAGCCTGAGGGGAAGTCCGGAGCCCCAGTACCAGGAGAGGTGGTATGGAGAGGGCTGGTAGGTAACAGATGAGGAGAGGCTAAGAATATATTTCAGAGATTTGGATCACTTTGAGGGGATGGGAGAAGGGAGGGTCTTTAGGGAGAGAGCCATAGGCTGAATGCATTGCCCCAAAAGGACTGGAATGGTGCTTGCAGAACAAAACCTGAGGAATTTGGGGGAAGTGGAGATGAACTTAGCTTCTTTCCCTTCCCCAGAATGAAAAGTAAAGAAATTGCAGAAGTTACTCTAGGATCTGAGGGAGACTCCTCCGTGCACGACAGCACAGCAACTAGGCAAGGATCACCCGACATCCTTCTCTCTCCTTTTTGCTTTTCAATAATTAGTTTCAGGCCCCAGGAAAGATAAGGACCAAAATATGGGCAGTTAGCTGGGGTTTAAAGGGATAATCTCCAAGAATTCATTCTCTGACATCAGGTACAGCCTCCGCCTCAGACCTGTCCCCTCCTGGGCCCCAGGTTGGCAGCTTCTGTGAATTCTTTCTTTGCTGTAATTCACTAGGGCCCTAGGACCCAGGCCCAGAGCCGGTCTCCTGCTCTCTCCTCAGGTCCCAGGAGTCTAGGGCTTGCTCTAAGGGAGGAAGGAAAGCAGCCTTTCTCTGGATCTCTCCCCTCCCAGGACGTGGGCCCTAGGACCAAAGAGCCTCTGTCTTTCCCTGCCACACCCCCACCACCACCACCACTCATTGTAACCCAGACAAGGGGATTTCTTGTGTCTCAGCCTCTGGCAGGCATCCTTGTGACCAAATGGTGGAAGGTCCGAGGCAGAATGGGGGAAGGGAAATCACAGGATCAGAGAAGACACCTCCCCCCTTTGGAAATTATGATACACCCCCAGAGCTCCCAGACTTTAGGTGTCTCCTTCCTCTGATTTCCATCAGCAATAGGGAGAGAAGGGGGTTGGATGGGGGATCATCTGCATATAAAAGGCCTGTGGAAGTGGAAACCGAGAAGGTGTGGAGACACAAAGGCTGAACCTCCTGGCAGACAGATCTGGAGCCAGAATACAAGAATGAGGGCAACCCAGGGACAGGGAAAGACAGGGGGCCAAACAGGGCAGGCCAAATTTTGAGAGCCGTAGGTAGAAGGCCCTGTCTTTCCCTCCCTAAAAGCACAGATACAAGAGTGTCACATCGACAGGGGTATGGCCACAAAGGAAGTGAACCTAGAATAAAATGAGAACACCCCATTTAAAAAGCAAGAATCTGGGGTGCCCGGGTGGCTCAGTCAGTTGAGCATCTGCCTTCGGCTCAGGTCATGATCCTGGGGTCCTGGGGTGGAGCCCCGTATTGAGATTCCTGCTCAGTGGGGAGTCTGCTTCTCCCCTCACTTGTGCTCTAACAAATAAATAACATCTTAAAAAAAAAAAAAAAAAAGTAACAATCTTTCTGAAAAGAAACACAAACCTCTGACAGTGAGCTTTCCTACCAGGAAGGGGGAAGGGTATGTTCCCACTTGCAAGAAGTAACGGTATGGAGAATAAATGGTATGGTCTTGCCTAGCAGCAGGGGCTCAGCCGCCCGATACTGGCCTCCCACCCCTGAGAGATGGTACAGAGGAAAGCCTACTCCATCCTGGCAGGAAATGACATCACTCACCAGATAGGAAGGGATGGTTCTACCAACCCCAGAGACTTCTGGGAGGGCCAATCCATGGAGGGTTGGCCCTAAATGTCCATGTCCCTCCACAGTTCTCCATCTTGGCCAAGAGGGGGGCCAAGACTCCTAGATGTTGGTTGAGGTAATCGCACCCCCAACTCTTCATCATCAACCTCGTAGGCGTCCTAAATCCCTCAAATCCTTACCTAGTTCCGGGAGGAAGGGGGGGCACGGAGCGGGAGGGGAAGTTACTATTTTACGAAAAGCCACAGGTCAAACCTCTAGAGTCAATGTATCTATGGAAATAGCTCTAGGGTCCCAATAATTGAGGGATAAAGGCAGAGCCTCCTCAGGGACCAGAAGGATGATAAGGTCAGATTTCCATGGTAACTGATTTTGATGCAGCCTCCTCCTAGACCCAGAATGAGGGAGAATAAATTTCCAGGGAGACCAGGGCCTAGCAATGAAAGAGCCACAGGAATACAAAAGGGTGGGAGAGTTACTATAAGAAGGTCACGTCATCCTGACACTGCCAGTACCAGTGGGCCTCAAAGCCCAGTTCGGCACTCTCATCCTCTAGTGGCTCAGGAGGTCCACCTTGGAGCCCCTCCCCTGGGGGCTTCCATACAGCCCTCAAATTCCCTAGCCTGCTGGCTGTCAGGTCCCCCTCAGTCCTGGCCCTGTCCCCACTGGGCCCTGTCCCCACTGGATATAACCTTTGCCCAGTCTCAGGGCGGGGAGCCCCAGGGGGGCCCTGTTCATCCAGCTCGCTGGGGACCACCGTGTCTAGGAAGCTGCCAATGGAGAGACTGTCCAGCCGGTCAGTGGAGCTGGTGTCCGGCAGGCTGTCCCAGCTGCCTCGCCTTGAGTGGTCTGGGCTCCCGCCTGTCAGGCTATATTGACTGCTGGTGAGGCTGCTGCAGTAGCTGGTCACTGTCCCCCTCTCCTCCAACAGCCAGCGCACAGCCTCGATGCCCTCATTCAAGGTCAACAGCTGCTGCAGGATCTTCACATCGATGGCTCGCAGGTAGGCCTGGGGGAATGGGAGAAGGAGTCAGTCTGAGGTTCTGAGCCATGGGTTTCCCAAATGTTTCCAGGGGGGCCCGCTTTGTAGTCCAACCAACCATGCTTCAAAGGCAAGAAGCTTGGGAGCAGAAGCATGGCTGGTTTAGAGCATGGGGTCTCAAAGCAGACAGACTGCTGTTTAAAATCTCAGTTCTGGGGCGCCCCTGCCTGGCTCAGTCAGTGGAGCACGTGATTCTCGATCTAGGGTTGTAAGTTCGAGCCCCATGTTGGGTGCAGAGATTACTTAAAAACAAAATCTTTACAAAAAAAAAAAAAAGTCTCAGTTCTACCACTGACTAGCCAGATGACTGTGGGCAACTTTCTTACATTCCTTGAGCCTTGTTTGTTTGTAAAACAGGGCTAAATTACTCATTTCACAGGATGGCTGTGAGAATTTGGAGATGCTGTTTATTGAGTACTCAACACAGTGCTTGACACAGTCTCGGTAAATGTTTAGTATTGAAATCTGATCCTGGGGCGCCTGGGTGGCTCAGTGGGTTGAGCCTCTGCCTTCGGCTCGGGTCATGATCTCAGGGTCCTGGGATCGAGCCCCACATCGGGCTCTCTGCTCAGCGGGGAGCCTGCTTCCTCCTCTCTCTCTGCCTGCCTCTCTGCCTACTTGTGATCTCTATCAAATAAATAAATAAGATCTTTAAAAAAAAAAAAAAAAAAGAAATCTGATCCTGCTAAGCTTTGAACTTAGGTAAAGTATTAACTACTGAAACAGTCCAGATTCAAAGAATAGCCTGATAGGGAGCCTGGTGTTAATTACAAAGTAGGGCCAAAGGGAGGCAAAAGCTGGGGAAGAAAGAGGAAGTGAACATGGTCCCCCAGACTCTTCAGGGTGTCGGTAGCCATTGTTCAAAGGGTCAGAAGCCTGCTGGCTGGGGATTCGGGGCTTCTCTCCACCACACACCTGTCCCCCTTCTGTACAGGGAGTAAGTCTAATTTTCTGGGGAATCTCCAGGGTCCCTCCCAGTTCAGATGCCCTAAATATCTTCCCCAAAGACAAGTCTGAAACTGTCCCTTTCCTGCTCAAGAGCCTCTCCGGGCTTTGCACTCCTCTTGAAGAAGAAGATCCAAACCCTTCAACAGCTGGGATTCCAAAGCTATCACAATATAGCCCTTGTGTGTCTCCCCAGCTTCACCTCTAGCTCACTGACCCGGGAGACTGTGGTCTTGTCACACATGACTTTCCGATTGCGTTTTATTTGGTTTCCTTGTAATCAAAGTAATGGATGCCCATGGATTAAAGAGGAAAACAGTTCTGTGAGAATTATCATGGACGTAATAGGCCCGCACCCTAATCCTAAATCTCGCTTCCCAGAGACAACTATTATTCATTTTTTAGCTGTTTATTTTGGTACTTACCTTCGAATCTCCAAATAACATGCTACTTAGTGATTTTTAAGTTTTAGGTGACTTCCCACATGATGGAAGGTTAAGGGTTTAACTCTCATCCTACTACCCACTCCTCTGCCACATAGACACCTTTCCCATCTTCCAGTTTTCCCAACATATGCAATAAAATGAGTTGTTGGGTGATTACCTTATAAGGATTTGGAAATGCCATTCACAGCTAAGTTGTACAGTTTACTATGGTTACTTTTCATTCCCTACTTCACATTTTCCTTAGAATAATAATAATAAAAATTTTTAAATGATTTTTTTTTAAGATTGTATTTATTTGTCAGAGAGAGAGTGAGAGCATACACAAGGAGGGGGAGCGATAGGCAGAGAGAGAAGCAGGCTCCCTGCTGAGCAAGGAGCCTAATGCAGGACTCGATCCTGGGACCCTGGAATCATGACCTGAGCTGAAGGCAGGCACTTATCTGATTGAGCCACCCAGGTGTCCCAATAATAATTATTAATCCTTAGAATTATGCCTTAGAATAATAGTAAATGATATATAGCATACCTTATATATTCCATTATTGTTATATTATTATCACTACAATATTACTCCTCTTCTTTTGCTTCATTTCCTACATAGTGATCAATAAGTCATCCCCACACCCTCTCCCAGTTGTCTGAATTTTCCTCTCAAGGCATTTAAACATATCACATTCTAACTATTGCTGGTTCTTAGAGGCAGCTCTTCAGGAGCCCTCTGATTGGCCCCAGTGTGAACCAGTTGCACAACTGTCCCCCAGGGATTCCCCCTTCACTAGCCTCCTGGGCTTTTCCCTAGTTGGATCCCTTGTTTCCTGGGTCCATGTCTTCTTCTTTCTTGGTTTACTCCTTCATTGTGTGTGGGTGCTTTTCCTCCAGTTCCTCCAGTAGCTTCCTGAGAAAGTCTACAGAGGAGGTACATTTGTTGAAGCTTTACACGTTTTAAAATGCTGTTCTTCTCCCCTCACACCACTGACAGTTTCTTGGGTATAGAATTCTAGGTAAAAAATAATTTTTCCTCAGGATTTAAGGCATTGTTCCATTGACTTTTTTTCCCCCAAAGATCTTATTTATTTATTTGACAGAGAGAGAGAGATCACAAGTAGGCAGAGAGGCCAGCAGAGAGAGAGAGAGGAGGAAGCAGGCTCCCCGCTGAGCAGAGAGCTCAATTCGGGGCTCAATCCCAGGACCCTGAGATTATAACCTGAGCTAAAAGAAGAGGCTTTAACCCACTGAGCCACCCAGGCGCCCCTGTTCCATTGACTTTTAATTTTCAGTGTCACACTTGGAAAGTCTGATGCCATTATGATTCCTGGTCGTTCATATGGGACCATCTTACTATTCTTTCTGAAAGTTTTCAGGATCTTCTCTTTGGTCCCAGTGTTCTAAATTAGCCCAATAATTTGCCATGGTGTGTCTATTTTCATCTATTGAATTGGCTACTTGTTGGGCAATTTTAGTTTTTAAAGATTTATTTATTTATTTCAGAGTGGGGGGCAGGGATAGAGGGAGAGGAGAACGGAAGCAGACTCCCCGCTGATCCTGGACCCTGACACAGGACTGCAGTAGGGAATGGGGGGAGAACATGTCTTGAGCTGAAACCAAAAGCTGGATGCTCAACCGACTGAGCCACCCAGGCGCCCCGTATTGGGCCCTTTTAACTTGGAGACACATGTTCCTCAGTTCTGGGAGATTTTCTTTATTTCTTTGGTGATTATTTCTCCTCCACTAATTTTCTACTTTTTTTTTTTTTTCCTGGAAATCCTATTATTTGAATAGAGGGTGTCCTGGATGGATCCTTTTTTTTTTTCCCCTCTTCCATCTTTTTCTATATTTGTTCTAGTTTCTGAAGTATTTCAACATTATCAGTGCTTCTGTTGAGTTTTTCATATTTTCCTATCATGCTTTTATTTCTAAGTTGTTCTAGTTCTCTGAATGTTTTCCTTTTAAAATAAAAAATTTTTAAAAAGATTTATTTATGTGAGAGAGTGAGAGAGTTCAGGCACGAGAGAGCAGGGTGGGGTGGGGGAAGGGCAGAGGGAGAAAGAGAATCGCCAGCAGACTCCACATGGAGCTCAGTCCCACAACCCTGAGATCATGACCTGAGCCGAAATCAAGAGTCAGATGCTTAAGGGACTGAGCTACCCAGGCGCCCCTGAACACTTTCCTTTTTATAGCTTCCTGCCGTGCTGCAATAGTACCTCTTATCTTTTTAAGGATATAATTAATGTTTTTTTAATAAGTTCTCATCTCCTGGTATTATCTCCATCTCATTCAAGGTGTTTTTTCTGTTCATTTATGTCTAAATAGTCGGAGGGTCTCATCAGATGTCTTACAGTCTCTAGCAGCTACTTATACTTCAGAGTTGTCTCTAAAAAGCTGATTGCAAATTTTACATACGTACGTGAGGCTTGCCAACTCTGAGCCTCACTTGGAATTATCTGGCTGGGTTATTTGGGTTAGCCCTGAAGTCAGTATCTCTAGTATTTTTCCCTTGGGTTCACCATGTTCACCCGTCTCAAGACTATAATGCAAGCAAAGCTGCTAAGTAAAGGGAAAGGCTGGAAGGGTATTTAGTAACATTTAGTACATTTTTACTTAATCCCTCTTTTTAAAAAAGATTTATTTATTTATTTGAGAGGGAGAGATAGAGTGTGCATGCAAGGGAATGGGACTGGGGGGGCTAAGTGGGGGGTGGAGGTGGGGGAGGGGCAGAGGGCGAGGGAAAGGATCTCAAGCAGACTCCCCACTGAGCATGGAGCCCCACTGTGGGGCTGGATTTCACCACCCTGAGATCATGACCTGAGCTGGAATCAAGAGTTGGATGCTTAACCGACTTGAGCCACCCAGGCGCCCCTACCTAATCCCTCTTGCTCTCAACTTGTTGTCTCTAATCTAGAGACATTCGGTTCGAGTTTTTAAAAAATATATAACAATTGGGGTGTCTGGGGGGCTCAGTCAGTTAGGCAGCTGCTGTCGGCCCAGGTCATGATCTCGGGGTCCTGGGATCGGGCCCCACACTGGCTCTCCACTCAGTCAGCAGCGAGTCTGTTTCTCTCTCTCCCTCTGTGATCTCTCTCACTTTCTCTCGAGTAAGTAAATAAAATCTTAAGGATATAACTGTCTTACAAGTAGAATGATAAATCAGAATATGACTAAGTATTTGTACATTGAGAAAAATACAGGCACTGGAATTAAATAGATCTGGATTCAAATTCCAGTTATGCCATTAACAAACCACAGGGAATTAGAATTTTTTTCCCCTTTAAACCTAATTTCTTCATTGTAAAATGAGGATACTATCTCATTTAGAGGTTTATATCAAAAAATGGAAGGAACATGGGGCGCCTGGGTGGCTCAGTGGGTTAAAGCCTCTGCCCTCGGCTCAAGTCATGATCCCAGGATCCTGGGATAGAGCCGCACATGGGGCTCTCTGCTCAGCAGGGAGCCTGCTTCCTCCCTCTCTTTCTCTCTCTCTGCCTGCCTCTCTGCCTACTGGTGATCTCTGTCTGTCAAAAGAAAAGAAAATAAAATCTTTAAAAAAAAAATGGAAGGAACATATTAACACGCACAGGA